TTTTAATTGAATATCATTTCTAAAAACATAATAATTGATTGCTTGCGAGGAAAGCATCCAAATGCCAATCAATGCAAGTATCATAGGATAGTGAACGGGTAAACCATACCAATGTCTGTAATCACCGAGCATTATATGAATGTATTCGTTGTCAACACTAATCGTAACATTCAATACATTTATTATAAGAAATACAATGAATGTAATGCAAGCATACAATGGCTTATTAAACCATTTTCTAGGTTTTTGTAATTCATATGATTTATAACTTAAACAATTTTTATATAAAATATTATTAAAATCACTAATAACTAGATTATTTGGCAGAACTTTATTTATATTAATCATCGCCATTTTATTAGTATTTATTAAGAATAGTAAATTACTATTTTCTCCACTAATAAGATTCTATGACAATAAGTTATTTTCTATAAATAAATATATATTACAAAATATTTTTAGAATTAAAAACATTTATTTAAATTTTTAAAATTATTTTCAACATATTATAAATTTCCAATATTTATGTTTAATATTTTTATTTTCTAAGAAAATAAAGAATAAACATTTATTGTTTATAATATAACTTTTCATTGTAATAACAATTATGTTTATGATATTACTCTTTTTATATTACCGTAGTTTTATATAAAAATTAAGTGGCTTTGAAATATACTTTAATTTGAAATTTTTATTATTTACATCTTATTTATCATAATAAAATTAATGTACTTTTAGATAAATATTTAAAATTGTTATTATCAATATAAATTGAGCCCATATTTTTGAAAATGCATTTAAAGTTTTAAAATTTTGTATTATTTTTTCACTAATTATTATGACCGTAGACTCATTTATATTAAATAACATTTATCAAATACAATGGATAATTATGGTTATTTTTACAACTTTCATTATAATATTAAAACAATCATGTTTGGCGGTAGAGATGGGGACGGGTGTGGATCACGTGTTAGACCAGATCTGACCTCAACTGACCCCTGAGTCCCAACTCGTCGGCAGTGATCTCTACGAACACGAACTTAGAGTCGACGGCTTTTATACCCAATTCGCGTTCAAAATGTTTGCTCAACTCTTCAGTCGCCGTACGGTTGACAGCGGCCGAGGGTTTCCCGATATTACGCAGCGTTGCCAACGAGAACGGGCCGCCACATTCCGGATTCAGACCTATGTGTGAAATAACAGTCGAATAAATGTTAGTTAAATCTATTTAGAAAATTAATTAACTGACCTGAGTAAATAATTTGATCACAGTTGACGCAAACAGACATGGCTTTAATGGGTTTATTGAGCACTTTGCCCAACAACTGGGCCGTATTGGCCGCAAATCTGGCCGGTATTTGGCTCCGGGCTAGTGTTGTGTATATGTGTAGTATTGGCATCACTATGATTAAATGCACCTAGGTCAGATAATCATAAAAACATAAAAATATTTAATCAGAACTAAACTGTAAACAACATAATATGTTGTTTATATTATTTTATACTTGTATACTATGTTCTGCTAAATAAATCTATAGATCATTTTTATGATTTTTAGTATAAAAATGTAATTAATATTTCTGATAGACTGTACGCATGCAGTTATATTAGTATTGATATATAATTAAACAAGCGCCTTCTTAAGTTTGTTAATTGCACTAGTGTGATTACTTTAGAAAATAATATTGAAATAACTATCCATTATTTTTTGCTTTTTACGGTTTTAACACTCATCGAGTATTTAATATATTTTAATAATAAATTATTACATTTATTATAATAAACAATTTTGATGTTATTTATTCGCTAAGTTTATTATCATTTATTTTAATAATAAGAATCTGTAATCAAAACTATATATTTAAAAATGTAATTTTAGATAATTCTTACCAAGAAGTTTACGCCTACCAAGACAGTCTTACCCCACTGCTTATCAAAGTATACTTTATAGTTTACATTAATTGCTACTATGCTTTTGTGAATAGGTTTGATGTATCTATTACACTAGTTATTACTATAAAAATGTTAATTCCATAATTTTGACAAAAAATATGGCCAAAATTGCGATCAACTGTTAAGATATAACAATATTATATAAAAATTATTAAATGACTGTTAAAAGATTATTAAATTTATTAATGGATTGTATACTCACTTCATAACAGCGCCAATAATTGATTGTAAAGAATATATAACACGAAAAACCAAACTTCTTATCAGACATTCTCTCCATTAATGTTAATAACTATTATAAATATAGTTATAATTATAATAAATGTATAAAATAATTTATTAAAATTATACATACTTTAAGCTGAATTTTAAAGCTCCTTGCATTAATAAATTTATTAATATTAGTTTTAAATAATGTATTGTAATATTTTCTAACAATTTTATGAGTGGTTTTTGCCTTATAATTAACGGCCGAAGTTATGAATATAATAAAGAAAAATAGTGAGATAAGCAAAATAGTTAAGTAAATCATAATATATTTTAAAATAGGAACAAAATCATAGAATACTATAATTAATATTAATATAAGACATAATAAACCAAGATTAATCCAAAATACAAAAATATATTTAGACCAATAACTAGTGTTGTATTCATTTACTTCAGTGTATAAATCGGTTATATCTTTGATAATTTTTATTGAATTATTAATTTGCTGTTTACTAATCATATAAATGTATTCAGAATTTAATGCATTAATTCTAATAATAATATATTTACAAATAATATAAAAATATAACATTTCGTAAAAGAAAACATTAGAAACATAATGAAGCCATAGTCCATAGATTATTGCATTTAAGATTCCGTAGATTATTGTATTAACTAGTGTTGTATTGACTAAATATGTATATATAGCCAAAAGTGGCAAAGTTGTTTGTCTAAATATGTTATTATAATATACATAGGTTGCCAAATATTTTGATAGTATTGCAAATTTTCTAATATCTATTTGATTTGTGAGACCAATAGATTTTGGCGAATGTAAACCCGAAAGCATTTCAAATATTGACATATATTTTAATTGAATATCATTTCTATAAACATAATAATTGCTTGCTTGCGAAGAAAGCATCCAAATGTCAGTCAATATAAACATGATAGGAAAATGAACGGGTAATCCATACCAATGTCTGTAATCTCCAAACATTATATGAATGAATTCGTTGTCAACACTAATCGGAACATTCAATACACATATTATAAGAAATACAATGAATGTAATGCAAGCATACAATGGCTTATTAAACCATTTGCTTGGTTTTTGTAATTCATGTGATTTATGGCTTAAACCAATTTTATATAAAATATTATTAAAATCACTAATAACTAGATTATTTGGCAGAGGTTTATTTATATTAATCAACGCCATTTTGTTATTATTTATTTGTTGAGCATAGTAAATTA